CCATCCACAAGGATTTGCCCACAAAGGCTGGAATCAACACCTTCTCTTTGCCCCACGGAACGACCGGGCCGAGGCAGGAACGTGCTGGGAGCCAAGTTTGAACCAAGTCAGTGCAGATACCTCAGGCTGCAGGAACACTCTATTTATTAGGTCAATATTTCAGTTGAGCAATACAGTTACAGAATATCACAATGCTGGTTACAAACAGGGGATGGTTCCATGGGCACAGACAACGCCGGGCTCTGCAGTCGGGGGCAGGGGGACCCCAAAGCCCGCCCTGACACCACAGGGAGGGTGGTCTGCAAGGTCTGGTCATGAGCAAGAGACTTTTATATAAATGAAAGTGGCACTACAGGCAGAGATTCTGGTTTAGAGGTGGGTTTGTGTGAGTATTTCCATTTATACAGTTATACAGTTCAAGCAACACCTTTTTTTTTCCTTTTTTTTTTTTAAATGCTATTAAATTAAAATCCCCTGTAGTTCAATAAAGTATAAAAATAGTACTGAACCTGGTAATATTCAATAAAATGTAGAGTTCATTCACATCATTAAGTAGTAAAGAAATTGTAAAGTTGTAGTTACCATGGCAACATTGCTTCCCAGAGAGGGATATACAGAGAAGTTACACATATGGTACCTGCGACGATTATTGAGCGATCCAACACTGAACTTGTGCACCACAGACCGAGTTTCTAAATAGCTCTATATATTTATATAGTATATATCTTCTTCATCTTAAAATTTACTTCTGAAAAGAAAAAAAAACAAAAAAAAAACAAAAAAAAAGAAAATGTGCACTTCAACAAACTCACTAAGGCCACTCATGCTATAGATACCGAGGAGAGCGTCAGACGAGACCCCAGAGCACACACAGCCTCCCACCCCCCAGGGACAACCTGTGGCACTGCCCAAAATGTTCCTGAGATTGAGGGACAAAAGCATTCCCAGGCTTCTGTGGGAATTTTAGTTGATTTCTAGACAGAGGGAACCCCCAAGGTCCTCGCAGGTGACAACCCCCCCAACTGCAACTGCGTCTGGCCGGGAATTCTCTTAGGAAAGATGGGAAAACAGGGAGACAAAG